TTGATTGGTGGGGTTATACTTGAGAGATCTCCAAGTAGACAAATGGAAGGAGATAGTGGGATGCTACAGCTCAGTATAGAGGAGATTCCGTTAGTGATTTCTTTGCAGAAACTTTGAATTCGTGGGCAGAGCCAGAGGGAGTGAAAGTAGGTGTCTGGGGTGCGTAGTGCACAGAGAACGTGTCCGTTTCTAAAAAGCCCATTTTATACATCTTGTGCAGGGTGATGTGTGCTCTGTGAATTATCTTATATTGAAAATTGCAGATTAAGAACTTTTGAGGTTTGTAAGGTTATGGCCCATAGATTTCTTATTTGTAGGAGAAAGAAACAATGCAGATTATTCTATATGGATAAGATGACCAAAACAGAAGGAAATAGATTGAAGACCTTTTGCAGGTTAGTGTTTTTAGTGATATTGAAGGTGTTACTGCATATTTGGGTCCGGAATTCAGTGTTTGTTGTTGATGATAGGTTCTTTTACCAGGCTCCGATTGGGATGGAAATTGTTGTGTCTACATTGCATATTAGCTTGTATAATTTTGTGTCTTTGTGTATTTTGTGACACTTTGTGTCAGTTATTTTTTAGATTTCTTCTACAAGTGGAGATGGTAGTAAACCCACCAGGCCCACGTCCTACACAACCCATCCCTTTTCTGTTTCCCAGTCAGCTGTCTCAACAAGTCCCATTATCGCCCTTCCCTTTCAGTTCCTCTGCCCCATTTCAGTCCTGGTCTCATGTCCCTGGTCCTTTCCCTCGCCCTGCTCCTTTTGTTCCCTTCCCTTCTGGTTCCCCTACTCCGTTCTGTTTTACGCCTCATGCCCCTGATCCTGTCCCTCAGTCTCCTTGTTTGTTCCTGGTCCCCAAGTTCTGCCTCCTGCCATGTTCCCTCGTCTAGTGTTCTTGTCCCAGCTCCTGGTGTCTGCCTTATCTGTCTTTGTTCCCCTCCTGTTTGAGTTCTTCGTTTTGTCTGTCCAGTTCCTTGATTTTCATTAGTGGTTTCCCTTGTTGTTTTGTAGTGTTCCTAGTGTTTTCTGTTTTTGTTAATAAACCCTGTTTTGTCCTGTGAGCCGCAAGAGGGTCGTCCACCTCCTTCCCAGCCTGCACCATGCCACGCCGTTGCCCCAAATCCGGCCTGATCCATGACAGCAATACAGTATCTCTCCAGTATTTTATGTGTCCTTGTTAAGGCCGGTTTGTTTCAGCCCGATGCACCCTCCTTCACACCGGTGCCTCCTCCTCCTCCAATGGACATAGACAGTGCTCATGCCTACACGGTCTGTGTCCTCCTGGGCTCTCATTGATATCAGGGAAGTCTGCAATACTTGGAGGACTGGGAGGGCTACAGCTCTGAAGAACAGTGTTGGGTGCCATCATTTGATATCCTGGTCCCGACACTGACCCAGGACTTTCATAGGGCACACCCATACTGCACTGCACCTCGCCCCTGGCTCGCTCTCCTAAGTGACGTGCACAGGTGCCTGGAGTCACCAGTGTAGGAGGGGGTACTGTGAGGATGGGCCCGGATCTCTCACAGCGACCACACCTCCTAAACCAGTCTAACTTGCCAGAAAACTGATAACTGCTTCCCTTTAGCCCTGATTACACTGCACAACTATTTTTTTAAAAGTTTTGCTTCCTGAAAGGTTTTTGCTGATTGTGACAGGTGCACAAATATAGTTTTGGTTTTGCTGCACCACGTAGGAACTCTGACAAATAGACAGTCAACTGTTTACCGGCAATAACGTATTTAATCGCGTTTATGTTTCTCATACACTATTAAATTCAACATAATTAGAAGTGTTTTGCTCTTGTTTTTCATTTGTATTCAATGTCAGGTGCATCACGTTGCAGTGTTAAACAGTATTCAGCAGAAATATTCATACCTGGTGACATCAAACACCATTCCTGCAGTCTCAAACCCAACAATTCAGCTTTTGCTTTCAACAGACCCGAATCTCTGACCAGAATGTTTGATTCTCACTGTGTTATGAGATGTGGATCACCTGATGAGCACGGTTCAAAATCTGGATCACTGTCACTGCCAGTTCCCTGCATTGCAGTTTCTTCATCTGGTTTGTCTAAGGTACATTCCTCTGGTGGTTTCGGAATTGGAAGACTGTTATCATGTGGCATGGGTCCAATTGCTGAAGGCAGAGTAGGGTATTCAACTGACTTCTTGTTTTTGGTAGAGAAACCAGACACATTAGTCAAACAGAAGTAACAGTCCATCACATGGTCTTTCTGTTCTTGCCATATCATCGGGACAGCAAACGAGATTGTCTTTCGAGATGGTATGCTTTCTTCACAAGAGCAGTCATTGAGCGTCTCTGAGGCGTAATCGTATATTTGCAAGAAATTCAGCAGAATGTATCGAGGCTGTTACGACATTGACGAGACCTATCGACCGACACCAATCGTCCTGCAAACGTCTATAGCATCTAGCTTACTTGTTACATTGCTACTGAGGCAATGCTACATTCTGAAACAATAAATACCATCAGACCACCATCAGATCTATATTAACCGAATGAGCAGCATCTGTGTATGCAAGCCGCTTTTATAGCCTGCTGAGGCAATGTCAGGCTGGCTCTGGCCTGGCTAGGCATGCCCAGGCTCCAAACTTCCACAGAAGAGTTTCTAACCTGGCCTGATTCCATGTCTAGACATGCCCAGACTGTACAAAACACTGTTGTTAGGTCTCTTACAGAAACTAACATTTTTGGACACAAAAATAAGAAAAATACGTGACAAAACTGTAGATTTTGATGAAAAGGTACATAATGGGCAAATTTGGATGTGATCAGCCGCCAAAAATCTATAAGGAACACCCAACAGTGTTCAAGAACCAAAACCTTTGTTGTGCAGTGCTATCGGTATTATAAAACCAGGTGAACCAGTTATTTTGCTGTAAGGTTTCATATTCTTGTACCAGACTGCCATGCATTTCTCTGCTCCGTTTCATTCTGGCTGCATAAGTTTCCTTCTGTGTCCTTTTGTATACCTGTTCTCCCAGACTCCCAAGCAGCGACTGATCCCAACCCCCATCTAGGTGTGCCTGCAGAGTGTCTCGCTTTCCTCGTGTCCCCACTAGTGTTTGCCTTTTCCCTCACTCTCCTAGACAGACTACCTGGCTTTCTGATCTCTGCTAACGACCCCAACTTTTATTCCCTTCCAGTGATTTGGCTCTTTTTCTGTGCCATATAGTTTGTATAATAGCTTGTATGACACTAACCCACTGAACCCAAAACAACGAGGTAGATGCAGGAAACAGCGATCAGTCATACTTTTACATTTATTAATTTAGCAGATGCCTTTATCCAAAGTGAAGTACTCAAATTACAATATTCAAGTGTTTTGGTGCTGCATTGTACTTTGTAATGGATCTTTCACAGGTGTGGTTATCAGGAAGAAGGAGTGGCCAGTGTAGCAGCAGGGTATAAATGTGCCGGCCTCTTTATCTCTCTGCATTCATCTGGACAGAGCTGAGCAGCAACCTTACCTAGTAGGTAACATCCCTGTTTCACCTAGTTTGACTTCTTTTTAATTGTGGCTTTATGCTATGTGCAGGTTTAGACACTGACATGTGGGTTACATTTTCTTGTATTTAGGACTGTGATTGCGTATGGGTGATTATACTAAAACTTACAATTTTTATTGTCCCTACAAAAACTGCTCAGTAAATCTCAATAAACAATCAAGTATTTTCTAATTTTGTTTTCCTGATATATTTTAACATAAAACATCTTATTCATTTGTTTGTTTTTACAGCATTTTAAAACAAAAATGGTCATTATAAGAATTAAGTGTACTTTGTACTGCATTATGAAGGTATTTATAGTGTATTATAGATGAGCTTCATAAAGCCTTCATAATGCATAATAAACATGACTATAATGTGTTATGACTCTTAATAAATATTTATAGCCATCTTTATAATATTTTATGAATGTGTAATGATGCATTATATATATAGGCATTCATATGACTGCTTTAAGTAAAGTGCTACCAATATTTCTGGCAAACCTGTGAGGACTATCTGGTACATCTTTGATGACATTTGAAGACTGATTGCTGGTCCTGTTAGGGTATGATCATGTTATGTAGAAATACGAAAAGACATCTGGTCAGTACTTGTTGGGTAGCTAGACAGGAATGTTACATGAAGTGATGGTTACCATTTAGGGTTTGCGCACATTACATTGGAGAAAAAGGAAATACTGAATGATGCAGGTGTGAGTTTATGTTTTGAATAAAACTTTTGGTTAACATTGACATCCACCTTATAATTTTTCATTATCTTTTATGCTAAAATTCGGACGGAAATTTATAAATTCAATCTATTTTTTGGTTCTGTTGAATTAAAGTTTTATTAATGTCCCTCATAATAATCCAAACTCAATTATACCTATTTTACTAATTTAAATAAGCAGTATAACCAATGTGGTAACTGTTGTCAGCCCTGTTACTGAGGTGTCAACCCTGTAACATGTATAAAATTCTAATATAATTTAAAAAATGAAAAGACAATTGTAGAATCAACTTATTTTATAAGGTAAGTAAGAGAGACCAGTTATCCAGCCTAAGAGATTGGGAAATGATTCTTTTGTTTTCACGACCTTTTCTTAAAAGAAAAGATTCTGTGAAAGCGTTAGTTGTAAATGAGCATATTTATCCATGAAAAAAAGTAAATTACTTAATATTCTCACTTAAAACCACAATTAATGTATCTTTCATAGTATAACAAATTTCTTCTAAATATGGATTTTAAACATTTTTAAACAGTTCTTGATATGTCAGTAAGAGGGCTGATGAAACAGACAATGACATTGATTATTTGTAAAAATAATCACCATTGTGAAGAAATGTAGTCAAATGAAGGAGAAAGGGTAGTTAATTTAATTTAAGAAGTGGGTATTGCATCGTCAGCCTTTCATGCAGTTGGCATTGTGAAATGTGATTGGATACCTGTTGTGAGGAGAAGTTAGTGACTACAGTACCTTTCTGTAGGTCCCGTTTCACATTAAAACAATGCAACACTGCAAACATGAAGGTGTGTTTGTTGACTGATGCATGTGTACAGATAAGTTAGTGTTTCCTTCTACCATGTGTCCAACCTTGTAAATATTTAATTTTAGCACCTTAAATGATATTTTATTCAGCACATTCATTTTTCAGTTTGAAGGACTGCCTAGAATTGCTATCTCAATTATCCATTATTCAATTAGGTACATAATTTCATTTCATTCATTATCCTCCACGCTAGCAGGATAATGTAAGTAGAAAATCATTTTTCTTTAGAAAAATAAACCACTATTGATTAAGATAAAAATGACTGACATCCACAGACTCGCCCCAGATTTAAACACAGATCTATCTGTAACCCCTAGACCAAAAAATTAAGCAATTTACAATTAAACACTTTAGTCACAGTTACATTTTAATCTACAATGAAATATGAAATTTAATATTTCTCAGTATCAGGTGAAATGGGCTGATCTCTAACTGTGTTCATAAAAACTCACTGCGTGAGGAGTGCTCTGCAAAAGCAGCAGTGAAACCCTCCCTCTCCACCCTGCATTCAGTAGTATGACTACCTGCTTATTCCCTAGAAGATATGCTGTACTAAAAATGTCATGAAAATCAATTCAATTCAAATTCAATTCAAAATTGAATTTCAGTTCAATTAAAAAAACTTTATTTGTCCCCGAGGGGCAATTAAGGCACACAGGGCAGTTAAACATGGACACAGTGACGTAAAGTGCAACAATGATTACAGTGTTCTGTGCAAAATTGCAATCAATCAGGTAGATGGGAGCTGAATAAATATATAAAAGGGAGGGATTGTTAGTGGGCATGGGAGGGGGGGTCAAGTGCAGAATGAATGACGGGTTCCAGTGCAGGGAGGTGGGGGGGAAATATCAATAGTCTCATTCACAAAATATTGGTGAGGGAACATAAAAGACTGTATGTCTCCTGTTAGCAGTGACGCACTGATTTGGACATAAAGATAAATCGCAGTGCTTGCTTAGTCTTATCAGGTTCCAGTCAACGCATGATCCAAGATCATATATGATTACGATGATTCTAATTTTCTTTTTGGCACAGAGTATAGCTGCCTGGCAGCAATGGCTGCCCTCGTCTCCTTTCTCCTGTGCTGTTTGCAATATGCAAATGTGCAGGATATTATGATTGTCTTGCGTTTGCATTTTTTGAAAGAATGCAGATTGTTACGATAGATTAAAGGACATAAGAATTATTATAAAGAAGATACTATGCTGGGTTAGTTTCATGACTTGTGAGAGAGTCAATTAGGGTGATAAGGCTGGAGTTACAGTCAGATAGTTGGATTCCACTTTTTTAGTACTGATGGTACTTTGTTCTGAAAAACAATTATTTCCTGTCATAATATGGAACATTAGTCAGAACAGTGCGCATTTAAACATTGCAAAACAAGCATAAATTGTGTCATATACATTATACATTTATTTTTTTGGATATGGATTTAAAATGACACTCACTATCTTTTTGGAGCATCATACAATATAGCATATTATTAAACATAGTACATAGTACATATTGAAAGGCCCGTGATATGTTGACAATTACTTTTTATATTTTGCAGATAAAAAGAGGAAATGGATATAAATAGCAATAGTTTTATATTTATTCTATCTATCCCAATGTCCTTTTAAATGCCTATGTGTCCATTCTGGTATCTGGGTGCAAAAAGACACTCAAAATGAGGTGAAGGATTAAAGAAAGTAAAAGCTGCAAGACATACTTCATAGTAACCTGCAATTGCAGTGACGTAATTTGAATTCAAGACCAATCAGAACTAGTACTCCTGCCTCAATGTTTTGGTGTTTGAAAGCAGCTGATGCATGATACAAAGATCTATTGTTAAATATAATACACTTGCTTACATAAACTATATAGACAAAAGTATTGGGCCACACCTCTTAATCTTTGAATTCAGGTGTTTCATTCAGATCCATTGCCATGGCATAAAATCAAGCACCTGGCCATGCAATCAGGTATACAAGCATTTGTGAAAGAATAGGTCCTTCAGAAGAGCTCAGGGAATTCAAGCTTTTGATGTTGTCCCCCACAAGAGGCTCTTACTTAAACTCAAAGCGACAGGTATTTTAGGAACTGTAGCCACCTGG